TCAATGTCATTTGTCAAGAACTGAAAACAAATTATGTTTTGGCTCAAAACAAAATGGCTTGGCAGCAGAAAGTAAGGAAAAAACTCCTCTTTCTCACAATTTAAATGCAGAAGTTAATAAATGTATAAAATATTAAACCTGTATAGAGTAGAGCAAGAAACCTTGTAACCTTGTTTGAGTATGTTAAACTTATACACTACATGTAGGTCCAGAGTGGGAGAGTTTCAAATGATGTGTGACTTGTGTTTATGATTCCTTATTCCTGGTGAAAAAGCGCCACCTGGTGTCCTATTATATACCAACACATAGTACAGCTGTACCCATGGTGAGATTTCGAAGTCCAGTGCTGACACTTTATGGCAGGAACCTTAACCTAAATGTCACAAACAAAGAGTATTGAGAGGGAACCATTGGGACAATGCCACGTCTGGCAACACGGGAATTTCATAGCACCAAAAACAAATGTCTTTCTCATTTTGTCAAGAGAGGTTCAAACAGATGACAGTTTGATTCCGGGCATTCGTAGAGCTATGAGTTGTCTGTAAATTCCATCTTTGCAAAAGAAACATCTTAGACATTCACCAAAGAGTGAGTTAGGGGAGAACTGACGTGTTTCCCAGACAGGAAATGCTTTGACAAGTCATAACAAGAATGGCTGACTCAGTCTCATCGCTGTGCTGGAAATGTATAACACTTAACATCTGTAGAGAGAGATTCTCATTTCAAAGATTGAAAGACTGAAAACCCAGCTTTGTAATGTTAAACAACTTGTTCTTTTGTCCTTCGTATCATTTGTGTGTTTGAGATTTTGAGATTTATTGTTTCACAGTATTTCAATCAATTCTCTACATTCTACATGGATACTCAAAATATTTTAAAAAAACAAGAAACAATTTCATATATCTACACAGATTTAAAACACTGTACAGATGTAATACATAGTTCTAGAAATCAATTTCACTTCACAGATCATGTTGAAAAATATTAAGAACCTATACAGCATGTTAATTTTTTGATTCTGTACTGATTTCAGTATCAACGGAAAGGAAAATGCTGTACATTGAAATTGATGTTAAATTTTAGTTTATAATGATGTAATAGTTTGATACGTTATAAAAAAATTACAAACAACAAAAGGATTTATTTGAAATACTGCAAACAACAACTGATTCAATTTTTTGATGGGTTCCATTCCTTTTAACTTTTTTCAAATGCTAAATCCAAATTACCATTTCCCACAAAAAACGTTACAAATGTTTCTATTTCACTTTGTAATTAAAAATTTCCAAACAAAAAGAAAATGAAAAAAAAGGAAAAAAAAAAAAAAAAAACACCAAAGAAAAAAAAAAATGCATCCCTCATGATTACTTTGTAATCCAATAGTGAGTATTGTTTTTTGCTTAAAACAAAGGTGACTGCCTCAAGAATGTGATTCAGTGCCATGAGACTAATGTCAAGGGCAGTGTGTCTCCTTACGACTAACAGAAATGTCCCAGAAGATTAATTGGACACCATGACTTTTCCTATTTCACGGGTAGTAATTCTTGAGAATTTTATTTGAAATCTTTACAGTAACAATGATGAGAAGTGATTATGCTAAGAGAAGAATGTATAAGGGCTGTTTTTACAACTGATACACACATAACCTGTCATAAGATGTGTGGAAAAGTAATCATTATGTTATAATTTGGAACTCTGACACATGTAAACATCTTCCAAAAAATACACATAAATGTTGGACAAAGTGAAGGGGAGAGATTTTTATAGCAGCCAAGCTGCAAGAGAACTCTGCAGAATGACAGATCTCGATGTTAATGGCTTATGACAACGTCAGACAAAAACACAAATCAGATAGCACTTGAGAAGAGAACAATAAGATTTGCCCAGATTACACACCTAGTAACTTATAAGTGCTGAAGGCATTTGACGGGTGAATTCTCAACCTTGATTGACATTAATGTATCAACAGGAGAACTTCTTTACCAATAAGATAACTCAATACTTGGGACGGCTCCTACTTTTGTCAGATTGTTTTAATTTACATATAAGATTTCAATCCACAGTGATTTTTTTTTAAAAATGATGTTAATATCACTATATTTATGTCAGTTAAAAGTATATTTCTATTAAGATCTTTGCAGTGATGTCAATATTCCTGTAATAATGTCAATATCCCTGTAATGATGTCAATATTCCTGTAATAATGTCAATATCCCTGTAATGATGTCAATATTCCTGTAATGATGTCAATATCCCTGTAATGATGTCAATATTCCTGTAATGATGTCAATATTCCTGTAATAATGTCAATATCCCTGTAATGATGTTCCTTTTCCTGAGTGATGTCCATATCTCTATAATCTCTATAACCATATCTCTATAATGATGTCCATATCCCCGTAGTGATGTCCATATCCCTGGAATAGTATGGTCAATATCCCTGTAGTAATGTCAATATCCCTTTAGTGATGCCCATATCCCTGTAGTGATGTTCATATCCCTGTAGTGATGTCAATATCTCTGTAGTGATGCCCTATCCCTGTAGTGATGTCCATATCTCTGTAGTGATGCCCTATCCCTGTAGTGATGTCCATATCCCTGCAGTGATGTCCATATCTCTGTAGTGATGTCGATATCCCTGTAGTGATGCCCATATCCCTGTAGTGATGTCCATATCCCTGTAGTGATGTCCATATCCCTGTAGTGATGTCCATATCCCTGCAGTGATGTCAATATCTCTGTAGTGATGTCCATATCTCTGTAGTGATGTCCATATCCCTGTAGTGATGTCCATATCTCTGTAGTGATGTCGATATCCCTGTAGTGATGTCGATATCCCTGTAGTTATGTCCATATCTCTGTAGTGATGTCCATATCTCTGTAGTGATGTCGATATCCCTATAGTGATGTCCATATCCCTATAGTGATGTCCATATCTCTGTAGTGATGTCCATATCTCTGTAATTATGTCCATATCTCTGTAATGATGTCAATATCCCTGTAGTGATGTCCATATCCCTATAGTGATGTCCATATCTCTGTAGTGATGTCCATATCTCTGTAGTGATGTCGATATCCCTGTAGTGATGTCCATATCTCTGTAGTGATGTCGATATCCCTGTAGTGATGTCCATATCCCTATAGTGATGCCCATATCCATGTAGTGATGCCCATATCTCTGTAATGATGTCCATATCTCCGTAGTGATGTCCATATCACTGTAGTGATGTCCAAATCCCTGTAGCGATGTCCATATTTCATAGTGATGTTCATATCCTGTTTGTACTGTGTACCAGCATATTGATTCTTCTCAAATCTTTTGTGATAAGGCTGGTATCTCTTGAACTTCTATGGTAGTACAAGTAATGTGGTCTTTTGCCTTCACAAAATCTAAGGTATTATTGATTTTCTGTCACAGGTGGTCACATACCTGAGTACTTATCACAGCTTCCAATTAGCTCAGCTTTTCCAGATCAGATACATCAGATTGGTAGCACTTGTGACACAAAGGAATACTTTCGCAGAATCTCAGCCCCACAATTATATCTTTCATCTCCATCAACCTTTCATCTATTATGTCTTCTTGCATCATTTTAAAAGTACAAACATTCTTTGTTGTGTATATCTACTGGTTGGATTAACACCATGTGTGACTGGATATTTTTGGGATGCATCATTTTAATTGAGTTATGTCCCTTTGATTTCATGTTTTTGCTTTAGAGAAACAATTTCTATCATATGTTTCTTTTATTAGGGATACAATCAAACAGACGAGTAATTTACATCATTTTTCTGAGTTCAAAATTGCAGGCAGACTTTTGAGGTCAATCAATCCTTCAGACTTGAGCTACTTTTTATTGTCCAGTTGAATTCTGAATCTCTAGTTTAAAATTTGTTTTTCCCAAAAAGGCATTGAATACCAATAAACATGTCAATTGATTCCCTCAGTTTAAATGTCAGTTTCTAGTGCATGTTTTTTTTTTTTAACTTTTATTCTATTTAGGTTGCAATAAACAAATGCGTATGTTTTGGAGGACTGTATTCAGGTATCTTTTGCCACAGTTTACCTGTAGCCTGTTTCATCCTTTGTCAATAGGGTGAAAATAACATGAGGTCCTAGGGCCTAAACGGTCAATTGAGTTTCAATGCTTCTTGCAACATGTAATGGAAAAGATTTTATTAAAAAAAGTAAAATAACTTTAACAACATTGTAAACATAATGCAAATGTAAATTGTGCATGACATTTACTGCTGTCCTATGTTAAGGCTTTTAACCAAAAGTGAATTAGTAGAAATTAAACTCAAAAATTGAATTTTCCTATACAAAATCTTCCACCCACAATTATCTTTGAAATTTCAGTCAATTTGACCTATTTGTGGCCCCGCCCATCTGCCCCTGGGGGTCAGCCAAGGTCAATAATATGTGCATCTCATCAAACCGTCTTTTTATACTCATAATTCTAAGCTAGTTTTGATTATTTTCAAAAGAAAATAATTTTTACCCCTTCTCCAAGGGGAAATTGAGACACTGGGGTCATGAAATTTACAATTTTGGTAAAGCACCATAAGGCACTTCCATACATTTTGGTTCTAAACTATCTGTGTATTGCAGGCCTTCCCATCCATGAAGGGTATTTGATTCTACCTGGGATTTGTGTAGAAGATTTCTGAAGTTTCCATCAAACTGACAATTTTGGCCCCACAGGCCTAACAGGGTTGGGAACCATATAATGTACAATTTTGAGCACCTTTAGCCTTGCAAGGTTATTGTAAAATTTCATTGAAATTGGTTCATGAAATGTTAAAATTTTACGATGCACGACACCAGACAAATGGGGCTCGCAATAGGTCACCCTTAGACTGTGTCTCAGGTGACCTATAAAGTGAACTTCAGTTTGAAGTTATAGCCGACAGGTATATTTTTATTATATTAAGGTGAATTTAGATCCCTGAAAGAGATTGTATGTTTTAAGAAATCACACCAATAATGCTTTCCTTACCTGTCTGAAATGCTTTGGCGGAAAACTCTGAAGTCTTCTTGTGCTGTACTAACTTCTACTGTTCCACCACCAAAATATCTCTTTTGTAACACATGGGCTGATTGGTTCCTCACCAGTAAAGCACCTGAAATAGACAATAACAAGAAGCCCACAGGCCTTAATGGTCATCTGACTACAAAAACTTTCAGCAGGGAGAAGGGTTATTTTTTCTACTTTGAATGAAATCTTACTAAGAAGCTGTTTTCCATGATGTAGATGGTAGTTTTGGTGAGAAGTAGGAAACTGTAACAAGTGTTACCTGTATTGCGACAGTAAAGTTGCTGCACAGGAATATCATGATTGTGCAATCATGTCACAAAATGGCCTCCCTGGCTGCCATATTGAAGTTTTGTAAAGGTAAAAAAATAACAACACTTTGTTGGCTATCTTTCCTTAACATTCCCTCCAATTTTTAGCTCAATGGCACCAGTGGAACTGGAGAAGAAGTGTAAAATATATTTTTCAAGATGACGACCATGGTGGCCATCTTGAATTTCAGACAAACCTGATAAACAACAAAGCTTGGTCAGAACCATCTCAGGATCATTTCAAGTTTGCAAGTTTGAGCTCAAACCCACTGGTGGAACTTGAGAAAAAGTTTGAAATGTCAAAAGTTTAAGCACGGCGGATGGTGGATGGCACATGGCAGACAACGACAGATGAAGCAAGATGGCTATAGGTCATCATGACCCTTCGGGACAGATGACCTAAAAACAGTATTTTATATACATCACATAAATAAATGTAGTGTCTAACTGGACTGTGACAAAACCTGGTTCAATTAATTCAAAAAGTTTGAAGTCTAGTCTATCAAGCATATTTGAGATATGTCCTGATTAATTCACTTTATACCCTCATACTCGAACAAAGATACACATGGCTGACAATCCAACAGCCTTGACCTTTCATTCCACAACAACCTAGCTTCACCTTACTCGCATCAAGTTTGAAATTTATGTAATTATTTATACATTGCTTATTGCCTAATGGTTTGTTAGTAACATGAAAACTAAATTCTGATATTCTGAAAGAAATCAAAATTCAAACATCAATTTGAATTCTGAATGACCATGTTCTTAACTTACATTTACTACTGTTACAATTTAAGATCTAATTTTAGCAACAATAAGTGTGACCTTCAGCTTTGGCATATCATGTCCAAAACCAAACAGTTTCTGGGTAATGATGCATACAGAATGTTTCAATATATGTTCAGCTTTATAATCTGAAAGTGGAGAATGAAATTTGATCCGTCAAATCAAAAACTAGCAGGATTCTGTCCCTTCTTGTAGCAAACCAATGAGTGTAATTATTTGCTCTGAAGTCATATGAGCATCTGGTGGAGAGGTAGCAATATACATATGGATGCATGTGTGTGTTGGGGTTGCTGCAAAAAATATTTGGGATTTGGGTGTTCGGGTGGTGCAGCGGTAATGCACTTGCCTTTCACCTAGTCATCCTGGGTTCGATTCCCAAAACGGACGTGAAAAGGTATCGGGTCATCTGCCCAGCCACGTGGGTTTTCCTCCCACAACAAGCCCACTTATATCTGGGCCAACAAGAGTAATTAGTATAAGTTGAAATAACTTCTTTCACAATTGTTGTAAAATAAATAAAGTTTATATAAAAAGATTAGGGAACCACACCCACTTTGTGAGAAAAATAATTGATTTGTAATTTGATAATTCCTTTAAATCATGAAGATTTATCTCAAGTTCACAGATGACATCACAAACAAGTGTATATGGTAAATGTGCCTAATTTTGATTTTGAGCACTAAAGTTTTAGCGCATTATCACATTTTGGGCAAATTAACCAAAAATTATGAATTCATACATCCATGAAAATTATTCCAAAAGCAGTATAAAGAAAGAGCAATTAACACAATAATATTTTAGCACAATACTTCAAATGTAAAAAGTGCTGAAATAAAACGTGTGTTAACATCAAGAATGAACTGTTCTCTATTTCCGTTTCCTGACTCTGTTTGTGAGGAATATGCTTGACCTAAATTCATTTGAGAAAATGAGTCCCCTGTAGATAAATACAGGAAAGCTGGAGAACAAAGCTTCTATAACAAGGGCAAAACATATATTTTTTATGATGTTTTTTCCTCATTGAGTTGCATCTTAGTGTCCAAATCAGTCAGGAGGAGGGCTTTTTCCTGCTGTTTTTACAGGCTGGCAATAATTAGGTTTCAGGCTTGTTAGCCCAGTGTGACATAGGAATTATTAGTAGTTTATTTCTGTGTAGCTGGGGCATTCTCCTTCCCAACTATGGCATGTGGAGCACTTCCTGCAGGAATGAAAAAAAGTAAAAAACAAACCCAGGCAGAGAAATCTCATCGCTGTCTAAGCACGTGCTAAAGTTTATGGTAAAACAGTCCACAATATGTCATTAATATTGCATATATTTTTACACCACAAAACTTGTATACTCTGTGGCGGAAACACGTTAACATCTAGTGTTCTTCAGTAGATGTTGGCAGACCTTGTACTCCTTACACACACACATCTGCATGTAAGAGTACAGATTTGTCCAATTTCTGTTGCATACTTAGCAATATAAAGATGTTCGTAGATTTTTTATGCTCATTGGGCATGGCAGACGACACACAATAAATGTCTACCATTGTGTAATCTTCTGAAGCTAGAGGCAGGTGCCCTTCATCAAATGGAGGCAGTGTTTACCCAGGAGAACATAACTCACCATGAAGTTATACTGGTCAATGACTTGCAACTGAATAGCTCCCGCATTTAACATTTTACAGTAAGCCAAACTGAATGTTCCTCATCCCTTCAGGGTTGTTGTTAAGGTTTATGAGGTAAAACTAGAAAGCCTTTGATGGTTTCTTGCTGAGAACAACATCACTACCAGATGCAAACAGTCAAAGAGGTCCCACAGATTATTTTAGGTTGTCATGGCGATACCACAACAGGAGAAAGTTATTAAGAAATTATAAACCCATCACGCTGGTTACCTGATGTATTTTTCTCAGTGGTTCTTAATTACCATTACCTTTATAATAGCAAGGTGAAACCAGTGCTATCTGTGTAGTTCTGAAAAACTTGATACAGAGGTATTCTGGCTAGGTAGCAGGAGGAAATTCTTTATTGAATTTATCAATGAATCAAGTAAAAGGTTGTAGTGATGATGGAAAAAAATACTGCATTCATAAATCAAATCAGGTAAGCCAAGCCTGACCATAATGACTATGGTCAAGTGAAATTTGGTACTCCTTCCAAACATGTTTGATTCAGGGATGTTGTATTACACTTATATCGAACCAGGCAAAAATTCGGGTAAATTGGTAAAATAAAAAAAAAAATTTTTTTTTAATTAGAAAAACATCAATAAAATCATAACAGTGTAAGTCATCCAAAAAAAAACCCCATAATAATGATAATGTTAAAATTGTAATAGTCGGCAGGTATGTGTTCCAGCAAAATGAAATACTATGAGTTCATTGATAGTTCTAATTGATCAGTCTTGTTACATCTTTATAAAGTTTGTAAGAAGAACATGGAAAAAGGCTTGATTTTCATTACATTAAAGGAAGCAACTTACCTGGTAAATTAAATCCAACATTTAAGAAAACCACAATAATTTTTAAAATCTCAAATACAATTCTTGTAAAATCATGAAATTTTGCTTTGTACCAAGGCACATCAAAGATTGCTTTTGTTTAACTGTTATTAATCTCAAAGTTTAGTTAAGAAATATAATATTAGATGCAGACTTCAACATAAAATCATAATGCAAAGATTCTTGAATTTAATAAACCACTTAAAAACATTTTGGTAAACGTTGAAGATAAAAAAAAAAAAAAACTTTAATGCTTAAAATGTATTGGAAATTATATTTTGAAAAAATATTGATCTCTTTTCACGAAATATGAGGATAAAAATCCTGAGAATGATTTTTTAGCCCAAAAAAACCGAAAGGCAAAGTTGTAGTGATAATAGCATTACAGGGAGAATGGTAATTTCATAATGGCGGACATATGGTGAAGTTTACCATTTGTGCCCCCTGTGTGTAGGTAACCCCACTAAAGCAACGATTCGGAAAATAAGCTTTATTATTCTTTTTTGTTTTATCTAGGGTAGATAAGAGTTTGCAGACATGTCTGTTTCATATCTTGATCTATCATAATTTTTTCTTTTATGCTATAATCACGGATAGAGATAAAATGAGTTATGGAGTCTGTAGACTGTAATGTATGTTCCATATCAAACTACAAAGGTACATTAACAAGATCAGCAGTTAAAGACTTAAAACATCTTACCAAAGAATTTCATTCTTAATTTGCTAGTGCTTACACAACTGTTCACTTATAGTACAACATTTTGGAATAATTACTTAAAAATTGGTGTAAATTTGCTTATTTGGTGAAAAAATATATCCTTGGCATGATTCGAAACAAGAACAAAAACAAAAAAAAATGTCAAGCAATTGAAAGAATTCAAAAAACCACATTTTAATGGTAAGGTCAATCAGTAAGTATACCAACTTAAGTTGGCAGTTGAACACATTTGATCTCGCCCAATAAATTCTGAATCCTTACAGATTTCGTACCCACAGATATCTTTGCAGTTCACTGTGTACAGGGGTTACAGCACTGGACTGATAGTTCACTGAGATGAATCATATCTTAACTGCATAATTATCGATTTCCACAAAAAAAATGAAGTCATGATTTTAAGTTTGATGTTCAACTAAAAGTTCAGTTTAATTCAATGCTGTTACATGGACTTAACAGCCAGGGTCATATAAAGATGTGCCAGGTTTGGATTGTGGAGGAAAGTTGAAGATTTCAGAGAAAATCCACTGATTTGTCTCCAGTACCTGGCAATTTCCCTATGTAGTCCTCAAACCCAAAACTCAGAAGTGGAGGGCAAGGGCTGACAAATGCATTTTGGAAGAACAGATTTGTCACATAAAATATAAGTCAAATATCATACCTCTGGGCCTTTAAGTTTATGAGAAGAAGTCGTTTAAAGATTTCAATGAATCTGACCCAAGTGACCTTGAATATATGTCAAGGTCATTTCTTTTTGCAAACCTTTTTAGGCTTCATCCTTGGAACACTCCAGCCAAATATCAAAACATTTGGTCTGTTGGTTATTGAGAAGCAGTTGTTAAAAGAAACAAGTTGATGCTGAATGCAAGATGGTGACAGATGCCATGTCACGGCAAAAGCTCATTAGGCCCTTCAGGCCAGATGAACTAAAAATCACTATTTTTGTTGCCATGGCCAGCAACAATTAAGAGTTACTAAATGGGCTGAATGAAATTTCCTGGTTCATAGTGCTTTGATCTAAGCAATGTGTCTATTTTTGTGAAAGTGTCACACAATTTTTGCTGTTTATTTCATTATGCAACTGCATTAGACTCAATTGCCACACAACTCACACACTAATGTCTACAATTAAGACAAAGTCTAAAATACATACATCCTATTTTCCTAAAGACTAAAGATAAGTAAACGGTATTAAGTGCTTTCTTCATTTATATGGTTCACAAGAAAGCAAATAAATAAACATATAAATCTATCTACAGTCCAGTCATTCATTAAAAAAATAGCTAATGTTTCCAAGATTTTCTGAGAATCTGTAAAGCCCCAAAGCAGATATTATCATTCTTTCCACCACATGGCTTCAATTACAAGGGAGATAAATCTAGTGATGAAAGGTTTTCCTTTTTCTTCATTGAATAAATACGGAATAAATAAATTGGGAAATAAAACATGAAGGGAAATTTAGCACAGTATAATTTTATCCAAGATATGAGGCAGACAAGCTTATAAAGGGAGAACAAAATAGACTGTATTTGATCTCGTGAGTGTACAGTAGGATGAAATAATGTCTTATTATTAAATATCTTATTCAACAAGTTCCCACTAATTAACAAGAAATTAAGAATCTGTATAAATGTCTTGATGAGTGCTCATGATGTATTCTTTTGTTAGTCATAAAGATGAATCATTTTTCTGATCAGGAATTTTGTTTTGTTGAATATTACTGAACAAATGATCACCAACTTGCTTTTCAGATCAAACAATATTTCAGTAAACCATTTGAAAAAGAAAATTAATGCTTTGAAGGTTTCATTTTTCATAATCAGGAATCATGATGTCAAAATAGAATTTATTACATTATCCAACACGACCCTGAGCTTCCAGTATACCCTTGATAGTATGTTTTCACTACCCAAAATTTTTTACTCTTGTGTTCGAAAATCTGTGTCCAGTTGACAACTATTTTGACTCTCTGAATTTCATTGAAAATGTTCTTCTAAAGCCTTTTGACCTTGGCATGTTTCAAAATATTTTTATTTCTAGAAGAAGCAAACTCACCAATTCCTGTTGGGAATCCAAACATTTTGTAAAATGACAACGTCACAAAGTCTGGTTTGTATTTCTCAAGGTCAAGGACAGAAGTACATATCAGTGCTGCAGCATCCAGAACAGTATACCACTGACCGGTGAGTTGCTTTTGGAACTCAAACTGACCATGACACACCTTCGCTAACCATGATAATGGATATTTAGTGCCAGAAAAATTAGACTGTGCAGGAAAAGCAAATAAATTGTTTCCTCCAGGTTCTGAATGTTCTGTCTTAAAAATGAGACCTTCCTTCACCTCCTCTATGTCCCGATCACAATCAAGGATAGTGGTGTCAAGACAATACACTAATCTTGCTCTGGTTGCCATAGTTTCCCGCATTCCTTGTACCGAAGTGTGATTGTCCAACAGGTAAATAAAAGAGCCTTTTTGTCGTTTAGATATGTTACAATTAATTGAATAACTGTCACATTGGTTGCTTTGAGACAAGGGGTCAAAGGTGAATGTCTCGGCCAATAGTTTCAAAGCACCTGTACATCCTGATGTAAACACCACACTGTACTCTTCATGGTTTGTGTTAAAGTGCTGTAGTATCCTGAAAGGAAAATTCATTGAGAATCATAGATTATTAGAATTAAGAAATAAAACTCCAGAGAAGACATCATTATGAATTTGCCTTTAAAGTTGTTATACAAGTACATACTTTCCAATGTAACAGATGTCTCCAATACCATGGGAATTCCCCCTACCCTTCATTGTTATTGTTTGTCTGGAAAACTTACTTAGAATGTTGATAATTAAACAAAATCTAGTAGTTGATAATTGTTCAAATCTTTGATTTACCTGTATCGTACTTGATCAATGACATCTGTTGCTAGGCAACTGCTTAGGCTGTTGCTATGGGGATTTCCATACAGGTTACCAAGAAGGTCCCGCTGGAACGCCTCCATTTGACTTCTGGCATACAAAGTTGTTCCAACATGTTCAACATACGTTTCTCCTAAAAATTAAATATCAAGGACATTCTTTTTTCAGTTGAGTTAGCAAAATGCCAAAATATAATACAAGAAACATTTGCAGAATATTTCTGGAGTTTTGTTTCACTGTTGAATAGGTATGCATCTATACAAATTGTACCTTGTAATGCCACTAAATTGTTCATTAGTTTGGCAGCCTAAGTCTGTATAAGTATTACAGTCATTCTTCAGCTAAGATGTTTGCTATGTAATGTACTTTTTCCTTGCATAGCCTAAATGTTATCTTGATTCAATAACATCCAAACGACCTTGCTTTCTTTAATTATTATCTCTTGTTTCAAAAATTACTTCAGCAGTTTCCAAGTTTCATGAAAAAGATATCATTACTATTATTGTTACCCCTTTTGTAAAAAGTTGAAAAAAAAAGAAAATGAAAAAGAGAAAGAAAAAAAATAATTCAGGAAAAGAAAAAAAAACCAAACAAACAAATACACACACACACAAAAAATTCAAATCTTTTCTCCTTTCAACATTTCATTTTCTCCAAAATAAGACACCTTCCCCTTTCAATAAATGATTTCCTTCTAAAACAATAACACTTTCTCTGAGATTTTCCTCAATTTATAAATTTCTTGTTTAAAACAAAACAAATGTTAGCCTGAAGACACAGTTTTGGGTAAAGCATTAAACAAACATTACCGCTACTACACTCAGGAGGTTTTTTGTCCAAATTTATCGCTACATGTATAAAAGATTTCAACAAGATGTAGGATTTCATTTTTAGCTTGTATTAATGTTAAAAGGGACAACTGATGGTCATGTGTTACAATAAGTTTTGATAATCTGCAGATCGATGTTGTAATATTTCATATTTATTCTGTTCTAAATGAGAACACATTGAAACAGATTTGATTGTATCTAATGTCTTGTAAATGATAAATAATAGATATCAAGTGACATTTACGTTTCCAAATCTCGTAAATTCTTATTGTACTCACATATTTCCTTATCATAAGAATTATAATTCCATATTTTTGGATTAGAGAACATCTGTTGTGCAAGAAATATCTGAAATTGAATCTTATATTCATAAACCTTAATGTATTATTAAATTACTTCTTATTTTATGTACTTTATAGAGTGAAATATTTGCTTAAGTTTTTTTTCAACCTTATATAAAATGTCCCTTTACAAAAATATTTACATAGAAATCTTTTTTTTTTATATTTTTCACATCTTTCCCCCTTTTTTATGGTTGAGGTGGTGTGGGTGCAGGGGAGAATTGTGAGATTATAAAATCTAATTATATTCGAATCAATATATTCTTTTAAAAAAAAGGATGAATGAATGATACATAAAGTTTTAGGAGTGAAATAAAACAACATTTACATGTAAGTTAGGTAGTTTAGATATTATGATGTTGTATGAAGGTTCACTGCACTTGACATAGACATATTATATAAATGTGTGATCTACCTTCATGTTGAAAATATCTATGATACTACAAAGTCTGTTTCATGGCAGTAACGAGAGAATATTAATTACAGATCTGAGTTATCTCTGACTGTTAAAATTGCTGCACTGATTGGCAGCTCATTGACCTAAGCCTACATCAGAGAACTTGCATTCAATAAACGTTAAATACAATGACATAAATATCCGATTTACACTAAACACAAAAATAATTAATCACGCTTTCAGTTCACAGTCAATCAAACTTAATGCTGTTGAGCACCAGGCAGGTTCTTTGAGCGTTCTTTATCCAAAGTACCAATAAAAATCACGTCCTGACATCACACATTTTGTGAGGGTACCGTTACTATACATTAACAGATATTTCTATTCATTGACGTAAATTTGTATTCATCGACAAAGATTGTATAGGTCCCCATTATTGCGAGTGGTTATACCAATTCGTCCTAAGTTTTTGCCCATTCTGTAGGCGCAAAACCCATCAGCCTTAACCTGCATGATTAGGCAAACGCTTTACATGACAATTTTTTTGCCCTTTTAAATCAAGTGTGGGCTCCGAGTCATCAATTTCTATCTTCGCTTGACTGGTCAAGGAAGAAGATCAATTGTATGATAAGAGCTTGCTCCTGATTGGTCCTCTGTTCTCACCATTTTTGTCAACAATGTGATAAAACAATGTAATGGATCACAACAACGATTTTTTGAGATATTTTCCTGAAAAAAAATTCCCAAGATGAAATATTATCTGATGGAACCATACCCATATCGACAATTATCAAAATACTTCTGGTGAAAGACAACAAGGTAGATGGTCAGATTACATTTATCAGCATTGATCAGAAAAAAAAAGAAGCTGTTTTGTACTTTCATCAATGTACAACGTATCAGCACCAGGTGGTAAACAAAACTAAATAATGAGAGAGAAAAAAACACTGATTCACAGAGGAAATCTCAGAAAAAATCATTACACTATCATAATCAATGGATACAACTCATAATTAAATAATTTACAGTAAGCTTTTATGTTTTATATCTAACCTAGCATTAAGTACATGATCATACAAACTTCTGCAGTGGTGCAGAGATTCACATACATAGTGATCCTAGACTTGCTTTGGGGGCTCATTTGCTGAGCATAGTTCAGTTAAACTTAATATTGCTTTATGTCCTATAAACAGCCAGGATCATATAAGGACGTGCCAGGTTGGCAGTGGAGGAAAGCTGGAGTTCCTAGAGAAAAACCATCGCTCTGCAACCAGTACCTGAAACTGCCCTAGGTAGCACTCAAACCCATGACCTTGTGTTGGGATCCACATATATATGATGACTATATATGAATCTGGTATAGCATTCATGTAGTGCATAACCAAAGACATAGCACCCAGTCTAAATGGCATGGTATCATGATCATATGGTGACCAAGTACCTGATGATGGCATACAGTTAATCAACATTGTTTAAGGAGATGTAAACACTAGTACCAGGCAACTTACATGGTCCCCTGTCTACATCTTGCTGACATTTACCAAGTTGTGGGACCCAATATTCAGTTTACAGTACACATATATAATTTCCCTTGTGTGGAACCTCCAGTGAAGATACATTATGAGGTATGTTGTTTAATGGTCCCAACTTTGGATGGTTAGTGTTTCTATGGGAACAACCTGTGCAACTTTGATTGTGTCACCTGGCAAGTCACCAAATCCCCATTGCTCTGGATGGCATGCAATAAACCTCCCATATGTTGTTCGGCAAGGTAGGCATCACTACCAGATACTCTCCCTCAAAATGACCCTGGTTGTTGAAGAGGTGATAAATCCAGCACACAAACAGACATATAACCAAGATTACATGATGCCCCTGTGTACTGTATAATGTATAATTCCCCCATATGTGATCCTTTATATATTTCTATTACTTGTGATTCCCACATGTGTGGCCCCTGTATAATGTCTATTCTATAATTCCCCTGTGAGGCCCCTGTATACTATTTATTCTATAATTCTCCGGTGTGGCCCCTGTATACTGTTTATTCTATAATTCCCCTGTGTGGCCCCTGTGTACTGTTTATTCTATAATTCTCCGGTGTGGCCCCTGTATACTGTCTATTCTATAATTCCCACATGTGTGGCCCCTGTATACTGTTTATTCTATAATTCCCCTGTGTGGCCCCTGTATACTGTATATTCTATAATTCCCCTGAGTGGCCCCTGTAAACTGTTTATTCTATAATTCCCCTGTGTGGCCCCTGTATACTGTTTATTCTATTATTCCCCTGTGTGGCCCCTGTATACTGTCTATTCTATAATTCCCACATGTGTGGCCCCTGTATACTGTTTATTCTATAATTCCCCTGTGTGGCCCCTGTATACTGTTTATTCTATTATTCCCCTGTGTGGCCCCTGTATACTGTCTATTCTATAATTCCCCTGTGTGACCTCTGTATACAGTCTATTCTACAATTCCCCTGTCTGGCCCCTGTATACTGTCTATTATATAATTCCCCTGTGTGGCCCCTGTATACTGTCTATTCTATAATTCCCCTGTGTGGCCCCTGTATATTCTCTTCTGTATAGTTTCTCCTCATACCTGTAAATCATGGTGGACTCAGATGAGCGTCTAAATGACAATTGTCTGTGACAGGTATAGCCATACTTAAGTATGTTACATTTTATATATCAGGTTTAAATGTTGTAATGTATGTTGATTAAGTTGTTTTTCAACAAAATCAGGTAAATCATTCCTTTTCAATCTCAATTTCTGTCAGAGGTGAAAGAACTTGATTATAAAACATTTGTTCTGATCTCCACTAGTCAACTACGTGTGATATCATAGATATACTTAAAAAACATATTGAGGAAAAAGGGAAAAAATGAAGAAAAGTCCTCAAAATAGGTAACTTATACTACACACAACAACAACAAAAACAGAAAAATAAAACACTATTTATACAGGTTTGATAGAGGAATAATACATACACTGACAGACTCTTTCTGATATAAAATCCTTGGTAATGTAAATCAATAAATGAAAAAGTGATGCAGGAAACTGATTGTCAGATGGAAATCCTGTTAAAAAAATCATCATGTTATTGTCTGTATTCTTAAATCACTTTTAGCTGATTTTTTTTTAAAAACATAGTCAAATTTATTTCATAGTCATTGTATACAAGGATAATGTACTGTAGTAATCATCCTACACCCAACAAAATACTTCTCAAAAACTTCATTCGTTTCATCTGTGATGGATTTGTACATGTCTCTTGGTTTTAAAGGTTTGGTAATTATACCAGGAGTCTCCTGGCCTCTAATTTATTTAATTTCCACTTGTCATCATAGCAAATCAAAGAGTTACCTCCCCTTCATAAAAACTTGGTACAAAGTGTATTTGTCCTGTAATAAGCCCAGATGGTCAACACACAAGTCCTGACTTTATATTGAGAGACAGCAGTATTACAGGAAAATGAAACAAATATTTTGTTTATCATTCTACTGAACAGCAATAATCCATATATATATTATCAGGTGTGGGCAAAAATCTGCCGTTTTCAGATATCCTTGTCAATGACATATATTGTTGTTACATTTATTGCTAATGATTTAGGTACATATCCATCATAAATAATGACACACATTTGTCATTTTCATGATCACTTGTCATATATTTTTGTCTTCAAAATGCATATGTAATTGGCAATTAACATAATTACGTAAATGTATATATGGATACATTGTACATAAACAGATTCTTTAGTTTTTGAGAAAATCTGTTTATCTTTTCATTTGACTCTATATTACATTGCATATCAAAAATATTTTAAAAAAATATAAAAAAAAACAATCTCGCAGAGAAACTGAATGATGCAGATTAATGACCATGAAGAGTAGTTCTACAAATGAACCATCATTAAGCAATTTATGATTAGCAAAATAACTACCTGTTCCCTGATCTATAGTGTGTAATTTCAAAAAGCAGGGATAGAATATTCCTTAAATGGGGGTTTAAGTTGTGGTAGTGGGATGAAGTGGGGGAGGGGGTGGGGGACTGAGTGGTGGTAGGAATTGGAGTTGTAAGCATTTTAATGACAAATGAAAATTTACCATGAGTACAAGAAAACAAAGAGAACTTCCCAATGAAGTTTAATCTTTGTTTTCATATATGTTTGTGTATAAAATATCATGTTTTTATAACTAAACTTTCTACAGAAAAACAATATATGATTTTCTTAAAAATGACTTATTTGATATCACCCAACAATGACATATTAAGCAAAATGGAAGAATCAGAATAAAACACTAAAATCATGCTAAATAATTATAAAATTTAAAAAAATCATTTTACACTGCTTACCAGCTATTACCTGCACAATATAAATGTTGAATTTCTTTTTGTTATGTATCATATCATTGATAGTCAACACCACATTTATTTGAGCCTGTGCATTATGAAACTTACGCAAAAGTCAAGTGCATGTAATTGCCTTTCTGATGGTTTGCGATCTTTATTGCCCTTTAGATCTTCACCAAGACCGGACAACATCTACATGTTATTTGTCAACCAGTTGACTTCTACTTAACATAGTGTGCTATGGTCTCACCTGTGATCATTCTGTGTTGATACTGTACATTATATAGTTATATAAATATAATTAATTATATGTATCTGTAATTTCTGTAAGAATGCTGCAGAAGGGTGAGAATGTAACGATTAGGAGCAGACGTTTCTAAACCAGCGCGACCGTTTTCGCTAGCTGCATTGCTCCCAGACACGAAAATGATCTTGTGTGTATTGATTACTATGAAATTGGCCACGCCCACTTTTGCCAAGCGGTAGCCAAAAATGTATGTGTGCAAATTTTGCAGACCCTGACCCTGATATATCGCATCGAATGCTGGTATGGTGGTAACATATATCGATATTGCATTATCTTTCGCGAGCCGCTTCACACGAGTTTAATTGATAGGACCAACTTCTGATGTTGCAGGTAGCTGTCATGTCATCTTGATCAAATGTAAACAAACCAAATAGTGAATGATCCCAGGTGCTAGTTTACCTCTGAGGTTTGGGAATTCCTTCTCTCGTATTGATTCAATATCTTTGTTGTATGAAGCATCAATATCCATATTGATTTCTGTTCCAGTTGCGAAAACAATTAATAGAAAACAACTTTTTGATCCACTAAAAATATTTCATCGATTTCAACCTCATGGAAGCTGCCATGTTGTACAGATAATCTGTCACATGATTTAGGTCATGACCCGAACTTAGCAAAGTTCATTGTATCTCTACGCAAAATTATAGACCACAAATAATTGAAAATGCTACTTGAATGTACTTCCTTTTTATCATAATAAATCACTATAAACATGAAACATTTTTAAAACTTCCGAATTCGTGTTTATTTTTGTAGTTGCATTTACGCACTATGTTTTTTTACAGCGGAGTGATGTGCTGTGTTGTTCGGTCGGTTTCTGACACGGTATTCATAACCCTACCGCTTGAGCACCTCTCCATGCATCCTGTCCTTGTGGCTGCTATCCTGTGTGTGTATTGATACCCGCTCTAATTTTTATCCAGAATCCCTGCTAGTAAACCCAGGTACGTTTTCTTCACTTTTTCCAGGTAGCTTATTCACCTTTTCTATTTTAACCATATTTTATTTTTAGTGTTTCGACTGCCTCTCTTTTCTACATTGAAAACCGTACGTTTCACGCTGTGGAGAGAAATCACACTCGCTCGTGCAAATTTCACAGGGGGCTAGGGAGAATAGAAAAAAATGACAACTATTCCCTGGTTTTTGTTTAATATGTGCCTATATTGCTTTTGCTAATGCATGTTTAATTTGTCAGTAATAATTATTTGATATAGAAAAAAATACGTTAAAAATCATTGGTGAATGGGTATCCGTAATACTTACCATAACTCTATTTCCCTTATACACACCGTCCGATATGAATAACAGTGCCATCCATTGTATCACACTACCCATCTATATGCCCTTTACTGTTCTTTACATTATGTTCCCGTAGCAAAATTACCCTATATTCCCTCGGTTATTTTTTTTTTTTACTTTTGTTTATGCCTCACTTACATTCATCCTCTTGACCCTGAACACTCTTCCCACGAAACATATACCCGATATCCGACTCGTTTTTGCATGATGGAATTTAAAGAAGAGGAAAAGAATATGTATGAAGATGAACTATCCTTTGCATGGAAGATCACCGCTGTATCTTGGCCTCCATTCTCTCTGTATGTTTATACTAACCCCCGGAACCATGTATATACTCTTTACTGCACACCAAATCCATGCTTCTCTGTACATGTGTTAGTTACTTAGCTGTGATGGGATTCTGCTCAAAGTGGATGTATAGCAAGCAACAAAGACCAGCCAAGACCAAGGATCTACACCTTGATGGATTTATCAGGGGAATCAGAGGACAACTCTTGTCATGTTCCGTGTTATATGTGGATTTTCAAAGTGCTAGAATGTATATAAAACAGAAAAGAAACTGTGGTATGTTACTATGCCAGTGGAATTCTTGCAACTGTGGTGCTGATTATTGTGATGATGAAGTTTAAATGTCACTTTGTCAGATTCTGCAAATGATGGAAACGGAGGCAGGACATACATTTGATCAAAAGAGCTTTTATCTCAGAAAAAGGATTTTATTGTACATAGCTTTAAACCCAAGGATAATGCTAATGCTGAAAATGACTGCCTCCTGTTTGAATTTCAAAGTTGGATGGATTTTAAATTATATTGAAATTGATTCATTTTGTGTAATTACTTCTTGGGATGAATGGAATAAAGGAACAAAAAATAAAGGTTGGTATTTTTGTGATTCTTGAACATGAAGCATATAGTGTCAAGAAAGTCAATATCTGATTATATGACTCGGTGACTGAAATCAGAAACCTAAAATCAATATTTGCTAAAGCAGTACAGAAGCTTAGTATATTACTGAAAAGGTTGGCTTTGAAGCATTTCATTCTAGTGGCATACAACATCAGATTAGCAAAAGGAGTTACACATGATAGCAGATAAATTTTGAAGTTCTTTTTAACAGAACTTCCAAAAGAAAAAAGAAGGCTTTTGAATGATTCTATCACATTCGATGTAGAAATATGCAGCTGTGAGGTATGTCAGTCGGTTCAGGTCTGAATAAGTCATTTCACCTAGCATGGGGAAAAATAATTTGAAACATCTAACATTGAATAAAGATGAGATGTTTCATGCTGTGCATATTGTAAAGTACATCATAATATTATAGTTGAAGGAATTTTACTTGAAGTACATTAAGAAAGTTAGAACTTGTATGCTTCATTGTGTAGATTTGTTTGGGGCTATAAAATGAATAGTAATCTTTTAAAAAGTACTTACCTTCATTTGCATTTAAATGCATTTTGTTCAGAATTAAGAAGCAGTTCAAAAGACGCATTAGAAAATGAGGTCAGTAAAGCAGTATTTAGTGACACTCATTATTGAAAATTTTTTAATTCTTGGCAACTTTGGGCTTAACGGTAAATCTTAGGTCGTCATGGTCTTTATTAGGATTAAGTGATATTGGGGTCATCATGATTATGTAATATTCAAGCTTAGAATCTGTCCATTTCTCTTCTTACACAAGTAGAAATTTGCATTACTTGACAACAGTATTTAGGAGTACTGAATTAAATGGTTCTTTCACGGATCAGCAAGCACCTATTGTACCAGTATGGTGCGAAATACAGATAGCCATCTTTTAACCAGATACAATCGTTCATGGGTCGACAGCTTAGCATATCACTTACAAAATTCATTCAACTGCTACAAAACAATTTCTTTGATAACAGAAATTTTGTACCCATGATGTTAGCTTTATTGCAAAGATATTATTTGATAACAACAGTGCTTGGATTTATGTGTATGAAAAACATATACCTTGTTAATTGAATATTCTGTAAAGAATTAAGATTGGGAAAAGTTGACGGTAAGGTTTAAACAAATATTTGAACCCTGCTACATGTAGAAACATACACACACAGGAATGTGTATTTGATTAAATAACAGCTGCTATGTTAATTGTTTTGTACAAAAGAACATATGTCAGTGTAATAATGATCAATTAACATTTTAATGTGTAATATATGTTAATTATTAACATATTTAAATAGTTGTGCAAGTTTAACCTTGATATGTTACAGGAAAATTTACGAGGGAAATTAATTTCAAATGACAATGCTTATTTCATTTGCCCACAAATCAATTACACCCCCGCTGTATGTGACAGAGGTAGATATACTGTAGACAACAGGCTTTATGTTGAACATATAAATCATTTATGTCTTTCTCGGGTTTTGTAGAATTAAGAGATTTATTTGTATATGTGTGATGGTCAGAAAGTGTATGATAGTGTTTGTTTCAGGAAGATTTTAGACCTAACACATAATTTTACCTTGTTGTGATATATGTATTTGTTATCTGAGATAGGAAGTTTAAACGCTCTAGACTACTATAAAATTTTCTGCTATATTGAGATCATTTATCAATGTTGTCAAAAAAACATTCTCCTAAAAATCATTATTGAAACACCTAGATAAGAAGACTTTTAGCATGCTCCAGTCCCTGTCCTGAGTCTTAAGATGATAAATACACATGGTGAAGTGTAATACGTATTCCCAACAGCTATCTGCAGAGGCCAATACACAATCGCATCTACAGTTCAATACCAGATATGATACATATCTATGTTGTGGTGTGCGTGGTAGGTCGTCTCGTCCTCACACCATGTATTTAACAGAAGGACCCTGTCCTGGTGTTGGTCCCGACGACGCTATTGATGTTACTCTCTGATCATTTGATTTATGTACGCTCTGTGAAAATTCATGTTTCATACAATTTGATCTTGTTAAAAACTAGAGATGCCCTGTATAGTATTTTTCCTGTCGCGGACCAGACATTTACAAATCCCAAATCAGATTTTTATGTCCGTATAGAATCTGGACACACAGTTAAGCCTAGTTTTACACAGGTAACACTTTAAACAGGCTTTCATGCTATGTTTAATTGTCATTTTTTATAGGCTTTTTAAATACCTATCATCTCCTTGATAAATGGGATGAAATTGCTTTTATCTTAATGTGCATGCCACTTAAAAAAGTTTTTAAAAAAAGCAGAGCACCAAGTATGAGAGAGTACATAGTATGCAAGTGTCAACTATTGAAAGTAAATTGACACATTGATCTGTTCAAAAGGTAGACTTCAAGTATACTGAGGCTGCCATCACATTAACAAAAATCTTACCGGTAAATACCAAAGTTTGGATAAAATTGGTCTGTGTTTTATTTAAAAGCAGTTTCATTTTAAAAACATGTCTAATCAAGATTCAAAAGCAGCTAATGAGGACATTGAGATTCATGCACACATGTACCTCCATACAGCACATTAAATATTCATACCAGCATTTTAAATTTAAATAAATCGGACTCTGTTGTAAATTGACTACCAGGATGATTGAAAAGCTTTTTACATTTTCTATATATATATGTAATGTATAGTTTTTTTTAAAGTCACATTCCTGATAAGTAAATCCAATTAAATTCAGATATTTTAAGTTTCTCATACAAATGATAAGTGTGGCCTAAAGTTTTAAATTATTTCTAATAAATAGTGGTTTGATGTGCACTTTGCAGTCAGCTTTTGAAATCCTTTTGAACGGAGTCTAAAATAAGATATTCTATAACAGACATATTTGACTTTGTATTGCTATGAAGTTTTACAAAGATAAGAACAAAATAGTCACAGGTATTTTGTAATCATTATGAAATCTCAAAATATTACACTAGATGTCATGTGGTAGACCTGATATAGACAAAATATTCTGTTATTTTCTTCATATAGTAGAATAATTTTAACCTTGAAAATGATGGTTTGGTACATACTTTTATATCGAGTTGAGTAAATGGGTTGATAATTGTGAATGCAAAAGATACAGCGTGCATGTACGCAGTGTCATTATAGCTATATCATAAATTAATTATTTTCATATTGGCCTTCAAGTCTTGCGATATTGTATCTCAATTTGTTGATTTTTTTGTCAGATGTATGTAATGGGTTTGATTTAGCCAATTATTTATTTCA